GACGCGCGCACGGACGTACAGGGGGTCCGCGAGGGGCGCCTCTCAGGGCATCGGGAGAGGGCGGCTGGGCAGGAGTCTTACCACCTTTTTTTTTCCGTGATGAAATTCACTTTCCCCCAAATATTAAATGACACACGGACGTTTGGAAGACAAAGCAAATGTAAAACAACGAAAACCGAGAGAATCGCCCGTAAGTTCACTACGCATGTTGGGAATATTTTCTTTTATTATCAATATATATGCATCTAAGACTTTTGAGTACATGAAAAATATTTCTTGGAGTAAAAACTGTATAATTTCCCTCTTTCCCCTATTTTCTTATTGTGGTAAAATGCACACAAAAGTTTTTTTTTTTCCCGTCTTAACCATTTTTAAATATTATAATTTCCTTTCATGATCTTATTTTGTTGAATAAAAACCTCTTAGTGTCATTAAACATTTTTAAAGCAAACGTTAGTTCTAACTTCCTTTATTCAAATTGTATTTATTTTCACCTTAAGGTAAAATCAATTTGCATGTTTCTTTTCTTTAAAAAAGGTTTTTAAAAATGTTTACTTATTTTTGATAGAGAGAGAGAGAGAGGGAGGGGCAGAGAGAGGAGAGGGAGACACAGAATGTGAAGCAGGCACCAGGCTTCGAGCTGTCAGCACAGAGCCCAACATGGGGCTTGAACCCACAAATTGCCAGATTGTGACCTGAATCGAAACTGGACGCTTAACCAACTGAGCCACCCAGATGTCCCTCAATTTTTGTGTTTCTGATTTAATAAAAATAGTTGATTTTTTTATGAGATTGAAATTTCTTTTTCTTTTCTTTTCTTTTCTTTTCTTTTCTTTTCTTTTCTTTTCTTTTCTCTCTCTCTTTCTAGATTAAAATTATGTTGTATTTGTTTAAATTTTTTGAAAATATATTCATATACAACAGGATTTTATTTATTTATTAAAAAAATTTAAGTTGTTTATTTTAAGAGAGAGAGAGAGAGCAGGGGAGGGGCAGAGAGAGAGGGAGAGAGAATCCCAAGTAGGCTCTGCACTGTCAGCTCGGAACCCAGTGCAGGGCTCCAACCCACTAAGGGCAGGATCAAGACCTGAGCCAAAACCAAGAGTTGGATGCTTAACTGATGGAGGCACTCAGGATCCCCTACAACAGGATTTTTTAAAAGGATACACTTCTAATTTTGTATCATTTCTTAAACAGTTATGTAGTGTAATTTAATTCTTGGATTTTGAAAGCTTGTTTTTGCATACTGAAAAAATTGTTTCTTGGGGAAAGAACTGATTTAAATGGTACTAAACAATCCTATCTTATTTGTGCATAGTACTCCTTAGCTTATAAAACACTTTTTTTTTTTTGGTTTATCGCAGCATTATTGACAATAGCCCAGATATGGAAGCAACCTGGGTGTCCCTCAGCAGATGAATGGATAAGGGAGATGTGGTATATACACAATAGGATATTATGCAGCCATGAAAAGGATGACTTTGTGCCATTTTCGACAATATGGATGGACCTATAGGGTATTATGCTAAGTGAAACAAGACTGAGAAAGATAAATACCATGTGATACCACTCAGAAGTAGAATCTAAAAAAAAAAACCAAACCCAAATGAATGAAACAAACAAAAAGCAGAATCAGATCTACAAATACAGAGAACAAAAGATGGTTGCCAGAGACAAGTGGGGCTGGGAGTTGGGTGAAGGGGGAGAGAGAGATCCAGACACTCAAGTATTGAGTGAGTAAGTCAGGGGAATAAAAGGCATAGCGTAAGGAACACAGTCAATGCTATTGTCATAGCAGTGTATTGCTTCATGGGGACAGATAGCAGCTACACTTAGGGTAAACATAGCACAATGTATAAATTTGTCAAATCATTATGTTGTACATCTGAAACTAATGTAACACTATGTATCAACTATACTCAAAATAAGAAAAGACTATAGAAATGTTTTCTCCCTCCTCC